ACACACACAGAGAGAGAGAGAGAGGGGGGGGGTGAGAGCTGAAACTGCCAGGAGCAAAAAGACTGGCTAGGTCGATTAGATCCACTGGAAGCAAGACAATGTGTCCCTATCCCCCCTTCCCCTGCCCAGTCGGGCCTCTAAGTCAGAGTTTCTCAACCTGTGGGTCTCGACTCCGCTGTCAAACCATCTCCAAAAATATTTATTTACACTTCATAACAGTAGCAAAATTACTGTTATAAAGTAGCAACATCAATAATTCTATAGATGGGGGTCACCACACCACGAGGAGCTGTATTAAAGGGTTAATACAGTTACTACATTAGGAAGGTTGAGAGCTCTAAGTAAACAAAAGCTTGGAGACACCTGGTCGGACTTTCAGGTCACTCAAGCCCCAGAGTTTTCACTCTGCAAACTGTTTTTGAAACATGTAGCCCAGAGGAGCTTAAACTTGCTGTCTTCTTGCCTCTTCTTTTCCCCAAGATGACATTACATGTATGCACCACCACACCAAGTTTATGCAGACCTGGCCCTGGAGATCGAACCCAGGGCTTCATGCATGCTCCATCCAAACCTTTTACAATATAATATAATATAATATAATATAATATAATGTAATGTAATGTAATGTAATGTAATATAATATAATATAATATAATATAATATAATATAATGTAATATAAATCACTACTTTTATTACATTTGAAGAATGTTTAGTTTATGAGCCGGGCTGGGGGTGGGTGGGAAGAAGCATATATGGAGGTCGGAGAGCAACTTGTGGGTCCGTGTAGATCAAGCTTAAGTCCTCAAGTGCCTTTACTGGGCTGAGTGTTCTCACTAAATCTACTCTTTGGGGGAATCACCTCAATCTGGAGTGCTCCAAACCTTATCTTCCCACACTCATTCTCCCTGGCCAAGGAAAGAGAGCCAACCATTCTGGGAGTAGGTGGGTGACTGAACCTTGCATCTTCTGACGCAAATGTTGTCAGAATGCCCAACTGCCTCCTTAGACTTATCCTTTTATTTAAGTGTGGAATGTGTAGTTGTGTATGCATGTGTGGTTGCACACATACATATACTTGTGGAGGCCAGAGATCAACCTCAGGTATTGGTTCTCAGGCACCATCCACTTTGATTCTTGAGACAGGGTCTCTCACTAACCTGAAACTCACCAAGCAGACTAGATTGGCTAGCCAGTGAGCCAGGGATGTGCCCGTCTCTTCCTCCCCAGTACTGGGATAAAGAGAAGTACCATGGGGATAGAGTGGCTCAGTGGTTAAGAGCATTTGTTGATCTTTCAGAGGGCCTGGGTTCAATTCCCAGCACCCACATGAAGGCTTAAAACCAACTACACTCTAGTTTCAGGGGATCAAATGCCCTCTTCTGGCCTCCTTGGGCACCAGGCACTTACATAGTACACAGTCATATATGAAGGCAAAAATAACCATACGCATAGAATAAAACAAAAATATTTTAAAAAGAAAAGAGCACTAACCACCATCCTTGGTCATTTTACATGGGTTCTGGAAGGTAAAATTCAGATCCCCATGTGCAAGGCAAGCCCAAGCCATATCTCCAGTCCTTAACCACCCCTTCTCTCAGAATTCTGGGGGTCTACTCCGTCTCCCTCCCTCCTCTGGAATCCCCACCTACTCTTGTTGACTGTTTGACTTCTACGTTATTCCTTGTTATCAGCCCCTGTCATCTGGCCCTGCCATCTCCCCACCCGGCTTTTTCTGGGGATCCTACATCCCTTCCTCACTTCATCTTTGTCCCTCACCAAAATCATTTCAAGAGTTCTTCATTGCCCTTGATGTACATGGACCCACCTGTCCCCTTCTCCACTCTGCACCCTCTTTTTGGTCACAAACCCTCCACCCCAGAATCATTATCTAAGTGGCTTCACCTGTGAAATATTATATCCTGAGACTAGAAGATAGCCCAGTCAGTAAAACACCTGCTCTGCAAGCTCGAGAAGGCTTGTGTTCAGTCGCCTAGGACCCACTTTAAAATGATAGCACTGAGCATGTGGAGATAGAAGGATCCTGGGGCTCATTCACCAACCAGCCTAGCCCACTTGGTGAGTTCCAGTCTGATGAGAAGCCCTGTCTCAAAAAACAATGTGATAGCTCCTGACGGTAGATGTCACCCTGTGGCCTGCATGTGCACACATGACAAACATTTAAAAAAAAATCATACTCTTCCAAGAAGCCTACCTCAGTTGTTCTCCTGCTCTCCCAAGTCAGAACTAGTGTCTTCCCAGGCAGGCTCCCCACTGCTGTCCATTCTATGGGGTGCCCCTTTGCCATGCAGTTCACTTGGGGCTGACTCTGCTTGCTCCTTGCAGCCTCCAAAGACACATCATGACTCTGGAAGGCCCATGTTGGGCAAGGAGAGGATTTGGAGCCTTCTTTACAGCCCGTGGTCCTCCAGCTCGGATTCTGCTGGCCTTGGTGGTTCTACTGTGCATGGAAAATGGCCAAGGCCACTGGGATGAGACCCTGGAATCTGCAAGTCCAGGTCATGTGAGAAGACGAGGCAGGCCTGCCATCATTTTGCAGGGGTGTGTGGTACCTGGGATGCTGAAAAGTACCTGGGGTGTGGGGCATGGAAGGGCTATCCTGGGGTGAGGGGACGGGTGGCTACATCACCCACTTTCTCCCAAAGGCCTAATGTATGTGGTTCCCGCTTTCATGCCTACTGCTGCCCTGGCTGGAGGACTCTGCCTGGCAGGAATCAGTGTATTGTGCGTGAGTGTTGAAGCGTGGAGATGGAAGGTACAGGGATGCTTGGGGGTCCTCCCAGCCACCTGTCAGCAATCCTAGCCTTGTCTACATAAGGAGCTGGAACTTAGTTTGGGGCTGCTGGGTGAACCCCACTAATGTACCATGCTTTTGTCCTTAGACTCCAGGTGACTTGCTGCATTCATTTCTCTCTCTTCTTTTTAAAATATATTTCATTTATTTTGTTGGGTGGGTGAAGCATGCCATGGTGTACATGAGGGCAACTTGCAGCAGTCCATTCTTGCCTTCCACCATGTAGGTCCTGGGGATCAAAGTCATCAGGCTTGGGAGCAAGTGTCTTTACCTTCTGAATCATCTTACCTACTCTGTGTTCTTTCTTTTGCCCTCCCATCTTGCCATGTCTGTCTGTCTCTCCTGTCTTCTTGTCTGTCTGCATGTCTCTTCAGGCCTCTCACACAGTCTTTACGTCAGTCTCACACCCTCTTCCCCAACTCCAGCTTCTGATGATGTAGCAAACTCCCGGAGCTGAAGGTCTCAGCTCCTAGCCCAGCCTAGATAGAGACTTGGAGCTGTCCCATGTATGTGGGGTGGGAGTAGAACTGGAGCTGGAGAAGCCCAGCTGGTCCACCTTGAGGCATCTGTCAGCCTGGGCATCTTTGGAGTGAGGATGACATAGGACTTATGTCCCTTCCCCTCTCCCTTCAGCCTTCCCCCTCCATTCCTGCTCCCTTCCCTTCCAAGTGCTGGGTTGATATATGTACACTACCACATTTTGCTGGTATTATTTAGTCAGTTAATTAGTTATTACTGTGTATGTGCATGTTGAGTGTGTGGCAGCCCACATGCCATGACACACATATGGACGTCAGAGGACAATTATGAAGTCAGTTCTCTTCTTCCACCTTTACATGAGTTCTGGGGAATGAGGTCAGGTCACCAGGCTTGTGCAGCAAGTGCCTCTATCCAATGAGCCATCCCACAGGCCCCGGTCCTGATTTTGATGCCGTACACTCTGCCTTTCCAGCTGTCTGCAGGCACACCTGCGGCAATGGCTTCTGCTCCCAGCCCAACCTGTGTACCTGTATGGACGGGACCCTGGCCCCCAGCTGTGGAGTAAAGAGAGGTGAGCGGCCAGTGGCCTCTTGGGGGAGGAAGAGAAGACTCCAGGCATCTGAATGCCACTAGGAGCCCAGATTGGTTTCATTAAAGGACAAGAGCCAAGCCAAGTAGAGGCCCTGGTCAAGCCTTCCTGTGAAGAGTTTTCCTGCCTTGCCCACAGTCAGGACAAATCTTTGTCACCCACCAGTCCCACAGCCGCTCAGACCCAACCAAGTAAACACAGAGACTTATATTGCTTACAAACTGTATGGCCGTGGCAGGCTTCTTGCTAACTGTTCTTGTAGCTTAAAATAACCCATTTCCACAAATCTATACCCTGCCACTCGGCTCGTGGCTTACCGGCATCTTTTCACGCTGCTTGTCAGGGTGGCGGCTGGCTGTGACTCCTTCTGCCTTCCTGATCTTTTATTTCTCCTCTGTTAGTCCCGCCTACACTTCCTGCCTAGCCACGACCAATCAGGTTTTATTTATTGACCAATCAGAGCAACTTGACATACAGACCATCCCCCAGCACAGCCAAATGCAGACCATCTCAGACATCTGCACTCAGGCCTGTGGTCCTAATCATCCTCTATGCAGACCTGCTGGGTAAAGCCACGAGGAACCCGAGAACGGGCTCCCACAGGACATACAGAACATCCCACAGCATTCCTGGAACATCTTTACCTTACCGTATGTTTTTCCTGATCCATAGCATCACTGGGGTGTAGCATGAGCTGCATGAATGGGGGCAGCTGCCACGGGGAATCCTGTCTCTGTCAGAAAGGCTACACAGGCGCTGTGTGTGGACAGCGTGAGTACCCCATTGCTACCCTCACTTACACACGGAATCCTAGAGAACGGGTCTCTTCATCATGGGCCCACTGTCCACAAGTCCTTCATCTAAGACCAAAGGTCAAAGGTGACAGGCTCATTGTTACAGCTGCACTAGTGTGTGTGTGTGTGGGGGGGGGGTGCAGATGTGCATGCATGTATGTGTGCAAGCATGTGCGTATGTGTGCATGTGGAGGCCAGAAGTGGATGGTAAGTATCTCCATCAATTGTTCCCCCCCCCCTTATTTTTTGAGACAAGGTCTCTTATTGAACCTGGAGCTCACCAATTTAGCTATGCTACCTGGCCAGTGAGCTTACAGAGACCCATGTACCTCTGGCTCTCCAGAGATGGAATTACAGAGCACCATTGCTTGTGGCTTTTGCATGGGTGCTGAGAATCTGAGATCAGAGTCTTATGTTTACAGAGCAAGCACTTTACTGACTAAGTCATCCCTCATAGGTCAGTCTTACTCACCCTGGTCCAGATGGCGGGTATCCCTGGATAAAGAAAGGCTTACTTAGGTCCCAGTCCCCTCTGCTTCTAGGAAACCGTCCGTCATCATCCCCTATCTGTCCATAGCTATCTGTGTCCATGGCTGCCGTAATGGAGGACGCTGCATCGGGCCAAACCTCTGCGCATGTGTATATGGATTCACAGGGCCTCAGTGTGAGAGAGGTACTGAGAAACTTGGGGAGGAAAATGGGCAGTGAACAAGACATGGCTGGGTTCCAAGCGCAAACAGACAGCTGCTTTGCTACTTCCAGGGCAGTCTGAGGACAATGGCTTTCCTTTGCTCAGGCACTCGGCATAGCAGCTGTTGCTCATTGGCCTGCTTTGGAAGAGTTTGTGTTGGGGGGTGGGGGCGGATGGAGAGATGGCTCCACGGTCAAAAGCACTTGTTGCTTTTTCAGAGGACCCAGGTTCAATTCCCAGCATTCACATGACAGCTCACAGCTGTCTGTAACTCCATTTCCAGGGGACTCGACACCCCCCTCCTGCAGACTTGGTAGCACACACCTTTACGAGCTGAGCCGTCTCACCAGGCCCCCTTTTTACCTTTTATTTTTTAAAAGGTTTATTTTACTATTTTAAAATTATGTGTATGGGAGAGTATGTGCACATGAATGCAGGTGTCCATAAAGACCAGAAGAGGGCATCAGATCCCCTGGAGCTGGGGGTGGTTGTAAGCTGCTTGATATGGGTGCTAGGAACTGAAGCAAGAACAGTGCACGCTCTTAATTGCTGAGCCATCTCTTCAGCCCCATAAGGAAATCCTTCCTCCCTCCCTCTCTTTCTTCCTCCCTCCCTCCCTCCCTCCCTCCCTCCCTTCCTTCCTTCTTTCCTTCCTTCCTTCCTTTCTTCCTACCTTCCTTCCTTGAGTCTCCTCACCATGCAGCCCTGACTGGCCTAGAAATGGTTATGTAGACCAAGCTGGCCTTGAACTCACAGAAGTGCACTTTCCTCTGCTCCTTGGCGCTCTGTTTACAGGTGTGCACCACCACTCCAGATTCTTTTTAACTCTTTGAGGGAGGGTTTTGCTGTGTATCCTAAACTGGTCTTGACTTTGTAATCTTTTCACATTAGTCTCTAAAACAGACAAGATTACAGGCATCCACCATCATACCCAGTTGAATCCTAGCTCTTAAAACTGTCCATTGGTGGATGTGAGTGGATTGTGCAAACTAAACCAGTTGAAAAGGGCTGGGTGTGGGGTAGAGAAGAGGGGTGGAGCTGAGAGCTGATCTGGTCTTGACAGTTGAGCTAAGGCAGTGTATTAGGGGCAGGGAAAGGGAGACCTTGATCTCACTACTAGCTAGGGACCTGCAAGAACCTGAGAAGGCCACTGAGGCTGCCCTGTCCATGAGGACTGAGTGCTTGGAGCAGCAGAGGGAGAAAATAGAGGGCGAGGAGAGAGGGGAGCCTGGCATCTCAGGACAGACAGGAAGTGTGGTGTCTAAAGGGTGGAAAGGACAGCTGATAGGAGGACAAGACTTGGGCCGGATTTTCATACACAGTTGTCAGGGTCATTGGTGTAGTTGAGGAGCCTAACAGTGAAGGACATCGGGGCCCTGAAATGATGCCTGTTGTGGGAGACGGCAGCAAGGGGCAAACTACGGCTGTAGCCTGAGCCACATGGTTTTACTCTGTCTCTAAACGTAATAAAGAGGTCTGAGGAGTGACTCGCTGGGGAACACTGGCCTGCAATCTCCCCGAGAGGAGCTACAGGTGAGACTCAGCCCAAGGGCACCCACCTAGAGTCCCCAGTGAGGGGCTGGGGTTATTGATGGTGGCAAGGGTCAGTTTCTAGGTTGAAGAGAGGCTTGTCATGAATTGGAAGCTGGAGGGGCTGCAGGGGGTGTGCCTGGGTTCTAGAATGGTGTCTTTGGAAGCACTTCAACCAAAAGAGAAACAAACTGGAATATGGACTGTCAAGATGAGGAGGGTGCAGGTCAGTGTGTGGCGGGGGGTGGGCATCAAAGCCCCAGGAGGGCTGGGTACCAAGCTACCTCTGAAGCCCTCCTTTATGCAGGGCCTAGAAAGGAGAGTGGTTGGCTTGTCCTGGGAGGGCTGCCCTTGGCATTGGGCCAGCCCGATTATCGGAAAAATCTGAAGGGTGGAAACAAGAAGTCACAAATGGGCCCTGTGCACTGTGCTTGAGAAAACTGATGCAGCTCCCTCGTACTAGGCCTGAGGATCCAGGGACATGGTGCTATGAGAGCCAAGAGGAGATTCAGCAGGGCCAGGTGTGCACTCAAGTGTGAGGCAGGCTCTCCTGCCAGGCATCCACTGTCTCTGCTTGAAGGAAGGGCAAGAGAGATCAAGTCTAAGAAGGCTTGAAGATTCTCTTGGAGGTTATTTGTGTGAAGGTACCAAATATTTTGAAGAACCAGTAGTAGTTTGTTAGGTGGAAAAGGCATCCTATCAGAACAGGAAACTAGAAAGACTCACAGGAAAGAAAAGGCCAGATTTGTTGGTATAGAGGCCTGGGCAGTGGGACAGAGACAGTTCAAAGCTAGATACTTGTGTCTGCCTGATCCACAGACTACCAGATGGGGCCGTGCTTCCCCCAAGTGAGACCTGAGGGGTGCCAGCGCCAGCTGACAGGTCTCATGTGTACCAAAGCTCTCTGCTGTGCCACTGTGGGCCATGCCTGGGGACTTCCCTGCCAGCTCTGCCCGGCACAGCCACACCCCTGCCGCCGAGGCTTTATCCTAAATGTTCACACAGGAGCCTGCCAAGGTGAGTTGTGGGGTGAACAAGGGAGAATGGAGCCCCTAGGGAGCCAGAGCTGAATGGAGATTCCCCCCAACACACACACTCATACACCACACAACACCACCCACCCACACACACCATACACACCACCACCACAGAACACAAACACACACATACCACACACACACACACCATATCTCCCCACACACACCACACCACACAGCACACACAACCCCACACACACATACCACACACACACCACACACACACACACACCATACTCCCACACACACAGACCACACATACCACACCACACAGCATACACACACACCCACACACATACCACACACCACATACACACACCCTACACACATACCACACACACATACATACACCACACATACATACATACACCACACACACATACACCACACACACACACACACACACATATACACACACACACCATGAGTTGGTTCTTCTGACTCCCTTTCTGGAATTTATCCCCGCAGATGTGGATGAGTGCCAAGTCATCTCAGGCCTGTGCCTGGGTGGCAGCTGTCTCAATACAGTGGGCTCCTTCGAGTGTCGCTGTCCTGCTGGACACCAGCTCAATATCAGAGGCACTGAATGTGAAGGTGGTGTATGCTATGTTATCTTGGCTCCCTGCAGAGGGCTGGAGGGATTGGGCTGATAAGAAGCCTTGCTGTGACCCTGTCAGATCTGGAGGAGTGTCTTAGTGTGCCAGGACCCTGCTCTGGGGGTGACTGCACACACACAATTGGGAGTTGTGTGTGCATTCGTCACTGAGGCTTTGTCAGCAGTCTGGATGGAGCCCACTGCCTGGATGGGATGGTCCAAGGGGCAGAGGAGGGGCACAGTGGGCAAAATGCTTCTCTCACCCCAAGACCATCATTCTGGTCCCTGATCCTCTGCTTTTCTGGACCCCTGTTTCCTCCCATCTAGCATCCAGCCTCTGTGCTCTCACAGACTCTGGTCTGGGGGTCCTTTTGACCTTCTTTTTTTGTGTCCTTTAGCAATCTTGATTCTGCTGTTCGCCCATCTTCCTACACTCAAACATGCTCCCACCATGCCTGTCTGCTCTCGTTCTATGCCCTTTGGGCTCGATGGCCATCTTTACCCTACTATCACACTTTATCCTTAACTTCTGTTCCCCACACACAATTGTCATGAGCTTCCAAATCTAGACATTTTCTGGGGCTCACAAAGCTGCCTAGGAATGGGGATGGAAGTGGAGGATGGACAGACCTCTGTTTGCAAGGAAAAGGAGGTGTGGCCCATTCCCAGCATCACCTCAGGCGCCTCAGGCTAGGTCTGTATGAGATATGACTGAATATATTGTGGTTGGGATTTGTACAGTCTCCACCTCCAGGGTCCTTCGTAGCTAGCTTAATAGGAGGACCTCAACATGTCCTCTGGATATCAAGAGACTGATCCAGCTACTCAACAGCAATTTTTATTTAAACAGAATCCAATTGTCTCCAAACATGGGCTATGATTTGGTCCTGGGTGTTTTTGTTTGTGTTTGTGTGTGTGTGTGTGTGTGTGTGTTTGCCTACATGTATGTCTGTATATCATATGGATGTCTGATACATAAGGATGCCAGAAGAGGGCATTAGATCCCTTGGAACTGGAGTTACAGAGAGTGGTGAGCCAAGTGAAGATCACACACACACACACACACACACATCTGGGAGACACCCCCCCCCCACCAGATGCACAGGGTAAAATTAGGATGGTGTGAAAATTGGCATGACTTTCCAGCATAGTGTGGGACGGGAGCAGCCACCGGCAGCCTTCTCAGATGGTAGGAGTTGTTTCTCAACCAAAGGACATCAGCTAATATTTTCAGGAGAGAGAAAATATTACTCCCTACAGAGGAGTGTCTGTGATTCTCATGCCAGGGTAACTTATGGATCAGTTTCTTCAGAGGGCAGTGGCTACTAGAGCATCCACTTGCCCCTTGGGAATGCTTCTCCACACTTCCCTGTGATAGCCAAGGCCAGCAAGCAAGGACATATGGACATGTTCTCCACATCTCTGCTTGAGTTTGCAACAGGGGCTCCCACCCTTCTGAGAAGTAAGAGGTCTTCTGCATTGTGCTTGAATATTCCAGTAGGGAGAGTTTACTGCAGATGGCAGCTTGAGATGCTGGGGCTGTGGTCCAGATGAAGCCCAAATTTATCGTCTATAATGATTTAGAAACCTTTAAAATAGGAGGTACTTGAGCAGGGTTTACGTGTGTGTGTGCGCGCGTGCCCATGCACGTGCTTGTGGAGGCCAGAGGCCAGCCTTGGGCGATGTTCTTCAGGCACTATCCTTTTTAAATATTTTTCCAAGGTTCCATAGTGTAATGGTTGTCATGTCTGCTCTACCTGCAGAAAGAAGGTCCTGGGTTTGAGCCCCAGTGGAACCATGATTTCCATTGTACTATTTATTGTTTATATTTTGTTATTTATGTGCATTTATCTGTATGAGTGTATGCCATCTATGTGCAGGTGCCTGCAGAACCCAGAGAGGACATCAAGTCCCCTAAAGCTGAAATCACAAGTAGTTGTTAGCCACGCAGAGTCAGTGCTGGGAACTGAACTCAGGTTCTCTGGGAAAGAAGCAAGCCTCTAACCACTGAGAGCACCCCTGCTTTGGCTGCCTTTTTTGAAGCAGAATCTCTCTAGCCTGGAACTCACCAAGTTAGCTAGGTTGACTGGCCAGTGAGCCCTACGGCTCTAGCCCTCCTCACCTCCTCAGTGCTGGGTTGGGACTGCATGCCATCACACCCAGATGGTTTGCTTTTTATGTGGTTCTGAGGCTCGATCTCAGATCCTGCGCTTTCCATCTCTCCAGCCAGACTTTTCTTCAAAGTACCACTCTCCTGAGGCACTGTGGGTGCTTGGAGCACCCTCATTTGTAGATGGGAAAACAGAGCTATGATAGGCAAGGAGAGCTGTTCTACAAGCAGTGCAGGTACCACTGGGATTTGAACCCATCTGTGCCCAGTCTGTGCTAACCAGCCCCACCCTGTATCCTGTTGTAGATCGCCGGGTGGGCACCTGCTTCTCGGTGCTTATCAGGGGTCAGTGTGCTGCAGACCTCACTGGCCACTATACTTACGGACAGTGCTGCTGTGACAAGGGCAGGTGCTGGGCGCCTGGTCCATCACCAAAGCTGTGTCCCCCCCGGGGTTCTGGTGAGTGATAGTTTGAGCTTATATTGTGGTGGGATCAATAGCCTGGCTTCAGATTATGTTCTATTATTTATTATGTTATTATTATTATTGTTATTATTATTTTATTATTGTGTGACGGGAGGACCATACATGTACATGCGTGTGGAAGCTAGAAAACAATTATGTGAAGCTGATTCTCTCCCTCTACCCTTACTCATGTCTTCAGGCCTTCAAGGTAAGCCCCGTGGGTCACTGGCCTTCAGACTCGGTTCTTTGCAGGTGAATTCCTGAGACTGTGTGCCCAAGGGCTCGCACTGCTGCCTGCCTATGCAGACCTCTTCCCTGGACTCTCAGAAGTTGGATCCAACAACCTGGGGCCTGCCCTGAGGCCAGCACAACACAACCCCCATGGTTCCCGTGGGCATGGAGTCCCCACACTGATCTCTGGCAACTCCAACAACGGTGAGCCCTCCAGGGGTATGGGGTTTCAAAAACTAGGGCTGGGCTTAAGTCTGAGGAAGCAACCCTGAAGAAGGGAAGGAGGCTTCTCTTTGATGGAGTTGGGGTTTTGGATAAGGAGTCCCAGGGTGAAATTATAGTTGGACTTCCATATCTACTATTTAAATTAACCTTAGAAAATATTTGAAAAGGAAACATCTCTATTAAGTATATACCAACTCTTTTTTTTGTTTTATAAATAATGTATAAGAACTATTTGAATGAGCTGGCTCTTCCAGAGATCCCAGTTGGGGGCCTACAACTGCCTGTAACTCCAGCTCCAGAGAATCCAATGCCCTCTTCTGGCCTCTGAGGGAACTGTACACATATGTTTATACACACATAGGCATAAAAAAAAGTAAATCTTTTTTAAAAAAATAGATATTTGTGTTGCTGGAGGGCTTCTCTCCAGGTTCCCCAAGCCCCGCAGTCCAACAATACACGTATAAAATAATCACTCAGACGCTTATATCACTTATAAACTGTATGGCCGTGGCAGGCTTCTTGCTAACTGTTCTTTTATCTTAAATTAACCCATTTCT